TAATAATCATAGCAGTCTTTTATAATGATTTATATTAGTAAAACAAATTTCAATAGTAAATATTAATACTAAAATCACTTTTAGAAAAAATAGTTGCATCAACATTAAAGTGTCTATTTTCTATTTTTCACACCTATCAAGTTGATTGTACAACAAATAATTTCACTACAAGATATAAGATTATAATATAGAGTAAGTTAAGTGATTTCATATTGTTTTAAGCAATATGGAACAGTGGGTGCTGAATTAGGAATAGCACTATGATTGAGAACACTGACGCTATACCTCATTCTGTAACATAATACATACACTGTACATAATAATATATACTCCTAAACTGGTTCATTTTAGTTTTTTTTCTCACATAAGTGTATACTTTAACTAAACCAGTTTTAGACACCACTAACTGTGTAACTTATCAGTATAGTAAGGATGGTGCAGATTATTAATGTCTTTTTGCTGTTCTTAATATTGTTCACTCTTAAATATTTTTTATTTTATTTCTTGATATAAATACAAAACACATTAAGTAAATAATATTATTATAATTGTTTACAATTAGACTACTTGCCTGTACTTTAAATAATAAACAAATATATACACAATACTAATAAATGACTTAATTTAAAATAGAAAAATATTACATATTTTATCCAAACTAAATTGATAGGAAGCTTTATTGTTTGTTAATAGATAATACCTCCACATGTTCAAAAATAAATATAACATAGTATTGTATGCACATAAATCAACATTGAATTATTTGGGAATTTACTTAAATATCTTGTCTTTTTATACATTAAAAAAGTTTTGAAAACAATGAATTTAATACATAAAATTGATTCACACAGAATACTTAACATCATTTGAAACTATAACACAAAATATATCACCTGTTACCACTCAGCATCACCAGTTGCTTTTTGGAAGACATAGTCATAACCATTTAAACTCATTATACCATCTTTAAAATAGAGTTTCCATTTATTCCTGCTACGAGTAATCTACATTAACAAATAAAAACATTATGGTCACTTAATTTGTAAATTTTCGCAATAAAATACAAAGTTTAAACAATAGGTACATACAACAAAAATCATATTTAATTTGAGGGGAAATACTATGTGTTCAGTCTTAAAGGTAATAGGAAATATTTCGAATGCATCACTTAGAGTTAAATTCAGGGTTCTTTTACTACCTACTGGGAATATAAATACAAATATTTTTGATAATTTATAATTTAAAACTATCAATAAGAATAGTTAGAAATTAGAAATTATCAAAAACATTTGTACATGAGCAGTAAAATACATTTTTCTTAAATAGGAACCACAATTTTTGAGATTGGATTTGGATTGCTTTATTTTTCTGAGCAACTAATATTTACAGTTTTTTGATATTTTCAAAATTGAAAATTTTAAACTGTCTTTAAATGTTCCCATAAAAAATATCAAATGATCTAGAGAGCCATTGTACTGGACCATGTGTCCCCATCCATTTGTGGCCAAAACTTAGTTTAAGGTATTCTTGAACAATTATTACATTATGAGTGAGCGTCCCATCTTCTTGGAAAAAAAATGACCTAATTTAAAAACTTTAGACTGTCCTAATAATTTCAATTTTGAAGATATTAAAAAACTGTAAATCAAAGTTGCTTGGAAAAAAAAACAATTCAAATTGTCTCAAAAATAGTGGTTCCTATTTAAGAAAATTTTAATTTACTGCATATATGCTCAGTGTCGGTCTGGCCCACCCGGCTACTCGGCGATTGCTGAGACATTTTTATATATTAGGGGCCAATATAGAAGTATATATATATATATATATATATATAAAAAAAGGGGAAAAAAAATATTAAGTTTACTTGCGATTCTGGACTCGGGTTTCAATTGAATCTATTTGTAAACATTGAACCATTGATTATAAATACTGGTACCTATATGTATTATGTAATGGATGATTGAACATTGTAATTGTTGAGGCCGGCGATTACGATAACGCTATCTTTAGTCGATGTAATATCATTTACAATAATTTCCCAATAATTAAGTGATACACGGATACACCCATACACTGATACATACAGACACACAAACTTATGCTGGCTATACATTCGGGCCTAACCAAATTTTTATAGATGAACCATTATTAGACTTTCAAGATAATTTTGTATCAAAAAGAATATCTGTAAAAAAAAAACCTGGAGAATTATCTAATGACAAAGTCAAAACTTTATCTACTTTTAAAAAAACTCAAGCCACATATTTTGAAATTCTTGATACAGTAAAAATGTCTATTAGTGAAAGATTTGTAYCTAACAAWGAACTGTYGATGGATATTGCTTGGTTGGGCCCTTCAAAATATAAGGAAATAGTAAATCTTTCATTAGAACAGCTTCCATCTAATTCATTAAATAAACTATCTAAATTGGCTGGAGTAGATAGGAAAACACTATTTGTTGAATTAAAACAATTTGCAGAACAATATTCAAGCTTTTCAGCAATAACAAGATCTGTATATTATGAACATAATTTAAGAGAAACAATAGATACAGAAGATGATGTGGCTGGTATAAAACAACCAATATGTGGTGACTGCTTACCTAAAGTCTTTCAAATACTTTATGAAATAACATCAAAATCAGATTTGTTTAATACTTTATATTTAACAATGAAATATGTTTTGATTCTTCCTTGTACACAAGTTTCATGTGAACGTGCGTTTTCAAAATTGAAAATTTTAAAAACAAAACTAAGATCGTCTAACAATTAAGAACATCTTGAACCACTAATGTCTTTATTTGTTGAAGATGATTTAATCAAATTTATTAAAAAAGATGAAATAATTTATCAATTAGCATCTTCTAGTCAAGTATTGAAAAATTAGAATTTATCAAAAACAGATGTATTTAAATGTCCTGAAGGCAATAAAAAAACCCGAATCAAACTCTAAGTGATGTGATCGAAATATTTCCTGTAACTCTTAAAAGTGAACACACATTATATCTCAATTGTACATAATTTTTAACTTTAATACATTAATCATAAAATTTACCTTATCATATTGGCAAACAATAACATTTTCCGTTTCAAATAATTCACCATTGTCAATATCACTTACATCATCACCAGAATTTAATGGCTCCTATAAAACAAAATRTACATGTCATTTAAAATAAGACTATCAACATATACTACAGTAATATTTTAACATATTTTATTAAAAGAAACAATTAGTTAATATTGTCATATTAAAAGTACAATTAATTATTGTTTGTATATAATGTCAAAATAGTATGCCATATACAAAATAACTTAATCAATRTACACACAATATATAGTGTATACCTATTGGCTATTTTATTAAACACATGATCAATGTACTAAATTCAAAACACTAATCTTATTTTAATTTGTATTTAATTTAAAGTAGAAAATATAATATTTATTTTATTTAAACTAATTAGAAATAAATATGGTACAATAATTATTAAAATTTTTAGCTTCTAGATTCATTGAATAATAATAGTATGAATAAATAATAATATAAATTTCTATCAACAACTTGACTCAAACACATAAATATCCAATGGAAAATAAAACATAGTTAATTTCCATATAATAGTTGCAATGCCTTTTGTTCATAATATGTTAAAAATAGAAAACGTATTTTTACCTACAAAGTTTATTCATTTAACTGATACTTTGAAAATTTCCAGTAATTAAGATCTAATTTATTTATTTATATTAAAAATGCTTACAGCATCAGAAGCACTATTCTGATCTTTTTCATCGTCTTCATCATCATCGTCATCATTATCACCAATATCATCATCTATATCATCGTCATCATCATCATCATCATCTGAGGTTGAAGAATCATTAGCTCCATCTATCTGAGCAATAGTTCTTTTAACACCACCAGTTCCATTTCCACTAATAAATGCTTGATTATTTTGTTGAAGTTGCTGCTGTTGCTGTTGTTGTTGCTGTGTAGTTCGTACATCTGATAAAAATTCTGGTTGAACAACAGTTTGAACACCTAATAATTATAAAAATACATGTAAGATTATACAAAAAATAAATATTAATTAATATTCTACTTGAAATTGATTGAGCAGCAAGAACACTATTGACATGTTGTTGTAAAAAAGATGTAGCTAGAGGAGTAGTCATTGCCATACTATTAGTTATTACTGGACCACTAAGTATACTCTGTAGCATATTTCCTACAAACATTTAAAACAATAATAAATAAAAATATTGAAAAAAAGAATATCTCAAACTAAATATACAACAAACCTTGAATGGCAGAACTTGGAACTTGAATAGAAAGAATTCTAGAACCCGTTTCTTGGGAACCTGTCTGAGCTGGTAAGGTTATTTGAATTGGTACATATTTGTTTGCATAATCTGCAGGTAAAACTATAGTATTCTGTTGTTGTTGTGGCTGCTTCAGCTGCTGCTTCTGTTGCTGCTGATGTGGTAGTTGTTGCTGCTGGGGTAGTTGTTGCAGCTGTGGTAGTTGTTGCTGCTGTGGTAGTTGCTGCTGCTGTGGAAGTTGATGCTGCTGCTGTGGTAGTTGATGCTGCAACTGTGGCTGAAGTGGTTGCTGCTGTTGTTGCTGTTGTATTTTTTGCTGTTGGGCCATTTTTAATTGATGAACAGAGTTATCTAAAAATAATAATTGTCAATTGATAACATAAAAAAACTATAATACCTAAATCTAAAACTATAAATATTTAGAAAGAATATTCATAAACAATCTAATAGAAAAAATACTTACTAACTATTGTAGGAGTATATTGATTTTTAGTTTGTTTAACAACAGTTGGAGTAACAGTTTTAGGAAGTTGAGTAACTTCTTGTGGAGGAGGTGCATCAATTGCTTTACTGGCCATTACTTTAGATTCCCATGATTGACGCAACTCCATTAAAATTTGATCGTCAATACCTTCTTCTGCGAAAAATTCTCGAGAGCCATTTATTGTATCTTCGATAACCGATTGATATAATTTCATCTGAAATAAATAACGATAATTTACTAAAATTAATATATAAACTATTCATTTTTGAAAATTAGAACATCTACCAATGGACATGGTAATATGCTTAGGTTAAAATAATGTTATGTACATGTTTGGATCAGATTGTGTGTGTGTATTGGAAGAGGGATACTGAATTTTTCCATTTTTTTTAAATTTTCATTAGCATATACTTTTTTTTATTGATATCAACATATAAAAATTTATGATTTATAAAATTAATAGTTTTCAACATGATGTATTTTTGTACCTATATTATAAAACAAAACACTATTCAAATTTCACTAGTTTCAGTATTCAACTAAGTAATGTTTAGATATGAATTAGATTTTAGTGTAGGAAAAAAACAAAACATAAGAAAACCCTACATCCACATGACGTGTTGTCTTTTATTGAGCTATGGTCTATAAGAAGCTAATCATACTCTAACCAATAAAAATCTTCGTTGTAATTAAAAAATGAACAAAATAGTATGTTGATTCAACTTATACCTAAGATATAGCACAAGTCATTTAAGATAAATAATAATAATACTCACAAGAATATTAGATATGCAGACAGATAACAGAGGTTTCAAATATGGTGACACAAGAATCATTAAGTACATACAATTTATTAAAATTCTAACCAGTCCAGTCCTATCATGCTTAAATGTTTATTTTGTATAATTGGTCAAAATTATAAGATAATTGGATTACAGATGCTAACAGAAAAATAAATTTTGTTCATAAATATTAACATAACATGTATTATTATTTACTACAAATATGATAAATATTAAATCCTAAAAATGTAATTTATAGTACAATTTTTAGTAGGTATGTGAGCTATTCATTCACACTTCATAAATTTAATTTAAAAATAACAACTTTTATACACACATAAATAAATTTAAAATTTAAAACAAGTTCAAGGTTTATTCTATTGTAATAAATATAATAATAATTAAAATTATAATAAACTTAATAATAACTACAATAAATAACTTTAATTTTCTATCTGAAACTGCCATGCTTATCATAAATCAAAATTAATCAAATTAGGCAATAAAAAATGAGCCAAACAAATAAATCAATAAATCAAAATCAACAATCTTATCAGAATTTTAAATGTTTGATAAACTAAAAAAATGAATTGTAGGTAGATATTACTATGCTTATATAATCTATGAAAACATAATATTTTAATCAATTTTATCCAATACTTCAAAATGTATTTTAGGCTTACAAAGTAGAATCTTATTAGAAATGACGTATTTTACTTTGTCTATAAAGTATAAAATAATTTTTTTTAAAGTGCAGGTTATGTAATGGATATCTACGATAAAATATTGTATCTATTATTTATACCATTATTTTATGTTAGATTTTTCATGTTATAATAAGTTATATTATAAATTATTATCTAAGAAGTATAGGTAGGTAATCAATTTTACCTCTGATAATACCGAGTAATATATGAACTATATATTTTTAAAAAAACATTCAATACATTTTTGTATTCTTTTCATTATTTTTGAATATAAATGTTTGAATTTGTTAATTMGAATTACATTTAAGACTTTACTCATAATATTAACATTTTAATAGGATATAGGTACATTTAAACTAAAAATAATTAAATCTTGGAATAATGGCGCATGCTATAGTCATCATAGCATACCAGTAGTTCTCAATATCACGGAATAAGATAATACCTAATAACAATAATAATTTTAAAATGTAGGTACTTAAAGGAATTTAATAGAAAAATTACTACTAAATATACCTTACACTAAAATAAGAATAATCAAATTTAATGACCTACAAAATTAACCTTTAGATGTGAGTCACAAATTTACATAATATAATGAGTGAATTATCACCATATGGAAGCAATAGTCAATATTTTATTAGCCGCAAAGAGTGGCTTTTTACTCWCTATTAGGGCCGCCAAACATACTGAGTAAAATAAACACTCAATCCATTATTATCGTAATTATTATTAGAGCGAAATCCAAGTGTGCTCAGTGCATATGTGACAATATATCTTTTAACTTGTTACAATAAATACGGTATAGGCCAGGGCCAAGACATGTCGGCTAACAGGCGCACGTCACTCGACAATATTAATATTGTAAGTCATTGCAAGCGGCATACCCACACAATTGTACTTGAGCAATACGTACTACTTAGTACTTACCACAGACGATTGGGATAACGACATGTTTGAAGGGCCAATGGACACAGCAACGTCTGTCAGTCTGAGATTTTGTTTGGCAGTGTTGTACAGATTGCGRTGACTAGCAAGAGATGTTTTATTTATACGTTAAAAAAAATCCAACAAACGAAGCAACACGACCGCGACAGCTGCAGCAGGACGGCCGGACGTGTGAGGTTTCTCGAGCGAAAGAACCCAAGTTTCACCATGTGCCGCGACTCCTTTTATACTGTCAGCCGATATAGGGAGGCAGCGGGTTTTAACGCACGGCCGACGTCATCGACCGCACGGGCTGGCCAAATACTACGATAATTTACTACCGTACACCGTACTACAGTACCTATGCACACATAATAAATGTTGCTGATCAGATTATTTTTAAATTAATTTCATCCACAGATTTACAACATTTTTTATATATCTGTAATTTCATTTAACTAAAATATCTTATATTGTATACACATTATACGGTATATACCAGTTACCAGCTACCAACCTATTAAATGTTAATTAATATTATAATTGTTAATAATAATTAATAATAAATTTTAATGTTAATTAATATTATAATTMATTTATGTTGTAGTTGTACCACAGATTATATAAAATATATAATTTATTTATATAATCTGTGGTTGTAGATCGTAGAATTTGTAGGTTCATCACAAAGGGTAATTACATGTACCTATTGTACCTATATTGCTCTATGCCTCTGGGGTACTCAGTAAATGGTACATCGATGTTGCTTGGAACTTTGGCATTTTGATACCTATGTGGCTATGTTTATTTATAGTTTAATGACTATTGCTTATACCTTGGCATATATATTGAATATTTTGAAAACAATTTTATCAATTTTTAAGTTTTTATTTTCAGTATTAAAAAATAAAAAATGTATTTTAAAAATGTAGCGCAAGTATCTATGAATTATATTTAAAAAAATTTTTTTTTWAATATTGATTAGAACAAAAGTTATTTCATTTATCAGAATGTCAGATCTCTGTGGGACATCCTGTATACCTATATTATGAATTTATGCGTGTATTACATTATTTTCCTTATTATCATAACATTCATAACTATATAGGTACTGTATGTATACATAATACACATTTGTTATTTACTAATTATTAATTAACATATTATGAATTATATAATTAATTTGACACGACAGTTCATCTATGATCTATAGTTATTAATGTTAAATTTATTATTAAGTAAAGATATGCAGTTAGGGAGGTAATACCCCCTACTCCATTATTATCAACGCGCTATTATAGCTATATGCCTAAACTAGTTTAGTATTGTGGGCATATGGCTATGTGGGTATACGATAAACCTACCGATATCTTATATACTTACCAAGTTGGCAATAATAATAATTCATATAAATATATATATCATATATGTATAGACGTAGCCACATAGGCTTTAATTGTAAATAGTTTTCAAATTCAAGTGGGTTCTTGAGCTACAGTAGTGTAGTTATTAACGAGGTTACTGTAATAAAGCTGCAATACTCTTAAAAGTTTATAACAGATTGGTAGGTTGGTTACACAATGACTTCGATTATCATTATTTATAAATTAATGTCAAATAACCAATAGGTAGTAATTAGTAGCACCGTAGCAATTATGAATTATTAATGGCTAACGACATCTGAAAACTTAACATTACCAATTGAATCTATCGTCTATCATCGTTGATCGTCCTATTCAGTTTTAATAAAATAATAAGCCGTGATTAGAACCCTATAAACTTATGTATGTAGATAGTCAGATAGGCACTTGATACTTACCWATTTTATATCTATACCRAATTGCTGTGCAATCTGCTATTGAATGTAACGCGTTATCGTAAAATAAAGGCAATAGGCATATTCACATAATATAACATATTTTTTATAGTACCTTGAAGCTTTATTAGTTTATAACCTACACAATAATTAGTAAGAATGCGTCGAACGTGTACTAAAGTTCAATTGTACTACCTTGAAAATTGGGTGAGTCGTGGATGGGTGGGCAAAATAATATATAGTTTACTTTTCTCAAAGTCTTACTGCTATATAATTTTCTCAAACACCGAAATGTCATTAAATTGTTTGTATWTAATTAGTGGCGCCCGTTTCATAGTCGTTTGAACTATTGAAACTATAGTTTAAAGGGTTGGGTTGGTCAATCAGTTTTTATTTAATTCAATACCACTGGTTATTAGTTATTACTAAACAAACAACCGATGAGTCAAACTATGACACACATTTAATTTTGTCATCAGTCCTTAAAGTCGAAGCTAAGTCCGAACTTCTTTTCAAAGTTTTCTTACTGGATTTTCTACTTCCGAATTCAGTTAATTGTTATATTACGACTGTCATATAGGATGCGGTCTACCTGCGACCGACGAGTTTTTACAGAGGCTCAAGATTATGTGTAATATATATAAGGTTTAATCGTTTTCATTAGTGAACTGTGAACAGTGAACACTTACCTTTATGACCTTGTACTTATCACTTTTGATAACAATGTTTCAACATTTTGTAAAAGTATAGACTCAAAAACGCTCAGCACGTCACTTATTACGCGACACTACAATTTATACTCACCGTACTCCCAATATGTTGGAAAAATATTTATATTTAATTTTAAGTAGTGAAGAATCAACCACAAAGTTTTTAAGTACTAAAAATAGGAGTGAATATGATTGTGATGTATAAAAAATAATTCATACAAGGAGAAATAAAATATAATCATCCCTGGACATAAAAAACCCATGTGAATACGTTATTTAGCATTGATTAAATACAAATAGATAGCACATTTCAATGTAGATTTTGGAAACTGTAATTTTTAGTKTTATTATGAATTATGATTTCACATAGATCACGTCTACAGTTTTGTTGCATAATAATAATAGTCGATGAACAATAATAAACATTTCATGTAATAAATATTATAATATAGTACAAGCATCAACTATTTAATCAATGGATTTAGTTAGGCGTCTCTGGATGGGATGGATATTAACTTTTGTACTTTACCCACCTGTATAAATTGAATTCGGTGCCACTGCCGCATCCTATACTCGTTAATTCTCTGGTTTATCGCATACTATACGATAGCCGTTATTACTTATTAGCACGACTTAAGGTATATTTTATTAGAATGTTTCAATTTTGTATAATTGTATATGATATTAGTTCTGTGGCATTCATGCTATAAATAAAGATAAATAATAATTATATATGTACTTAATGTTTTGACTATATATTAACAGATTAATTTAGTACTCAATACTAAATAGCTGAATTACGAAATTTAATCTAATTTTATTCTTGAAAGTAATGAAAGCTGACAYTATAAATCACGATGTAGAGAAAAAATATCTTCTCAACATYGTGCATTCCTGCTATGAATTAAATTATTTATTACCTTTACCTTAGACACCGTCCTAACGAAACAGTCAAAACACCTCGCAAAATACAGTGTGGCTGAGGTTGGTGTGTAAAATATTAGAAATTCCCGTAACACTGATATCATAATGATCCGTTTATTTGTCGGCTTGTGTTTTGTTGATGTTTGTGTTTGTTATCTTCGGGCTTCGAGTAAAATAATACAATTTACTTTATGGTATTTACAGATTTCCTATAAGGTATTCTGTTCTGTTCTTCTTGCCTCTTGGCATTAATAATTAGTATTATTAGCATGCCGTATATCTATTTTTCAGTTCTCTTATTTTACACTATTTAGTTCGTATGTGTTTAAATATTCAATAAAAATTATAATATTACATTTTGATTTGGTTTAATATAGGTACCTAAATATCAAGCAAATTGTAATCATGATACCCGAATTTTGCGTGTTTTATGGTGTCTTGACTTTTTCTTGGATAGAATTTCTTTGGGAACAGTACTTAACCCTAAGACAGGTAAATTAAATGATTTTGATATCTCATTTCGTTAAAAATCAAATATATTAGAGAAATGCCTATTCATAATTATTAATTATCATTGGTATATTAATTTTGCGAATAATCTATTTATTCTGAAATCAAAYTTCTTAAATTAATGTTCTCTTAATTCTTTAATTATTAATATTAAACATTTTTAGAGACGTGTATATAAAACTACAGACAAGATACCTGAAAGATTAACTGGTGTACTAGATGTGGAAACATTTAATAAAGCAAAGTCTTATGGAATTGACAAAAATAGCTTTAGTATTGCGGAGGAATGGTTTCATATGATAATTTCAACTGTAAGTAWAAATATTGTTAAATAAATTATTTTTATATTTTTGAACCAATTAATTATAAAAATAGGCTTTTCTATTAGAAACCCATTATTTATGTTTAATTAATTAAATTATATTTTAATGAGTATTGATATACCATTTTTAGTTAAATAATATAAATGATTGATTGACAATTTAATTTAAGACTCTTAAAAAACAGATACTCGATAGATATCAAGTTTTACCATAAAAGTAATTTTCTGAACATATTATTAAGTACCAGAGTCTTAAYAATATTTAATAAATAAAACATTGCAATTTTTGAGTTTGAATTATTGCTAAGTCTTGTACACTAAATATCACTTATACTTGAATGGGTAATCTAGATATTTTAGAAAATTGTTTAGTCATTTACAAGTTATGCTTACAGAGCAAGTAGAGAAAAAGATGTCTAATTTTTATAGAACAATAAATTCTTACATTTTCTTTATTATATTTAATTTTTAGTACATTTACAGAAATCACTTAAAATATTCAATAACTTTTTTTTTATGGAATTAAAAATCTATAGATGTGTACATATAGTACACTTTTAAATATAATTAAAAATATTACATAATTTAACATACTTAATAATTTATTWTTTATTTCAAATTTTTAGGGTTTCATCTGTTTGAATGGATTCACATTATTATGGAATTTTAGTAAATATTGTTTGATTGAGACACGTTATTTTGATAGTGAAATCATGACCAGTTGCGTATTTCTTCTATGTATGAATACCCTAGGTACATTAATGTCTTTGCCAATCTCAGCATATAGCACTTTTATTATTGAAGAAAAACATGGGTTTAACAAACAAGTAAATCACTAAATAAGATACCTAAAATACAATGTATATTCATTTGTTTTTAAAAAATTTTATAATTTTTCTTTTTACTAGACTTTAAATTTCTTCGTTAAAGACAAGATCAAGAATTTTTTATTGGTTCA